TATATAGTGAACTAAAATCAAGCTTAGGATCTTTGATCTGCCAAAATGTTTATTTCCAAATGGCTTATTTGAAATAAAAATCTAATATATAAAATATTCATCATTTGTTAATTTCACTCCAAACACATATGTCTTCCAAACTCTTTTTTTTCATGCAGTTACAATGAATAGGGACTGAGGCTTCTCTGAAAATCTCTAGGTTCTCTGAAATTTTGTGGATACATACGCTTGTCCCTGTCCCCCAATAAGTTGATCTTAAATAAATTGATCCGATTCACAAAACTGATCTGGCTGAAATTGTTCACAAATTAGTTTATCATTTCAAGGGGAGGATTTTAAATATGTTCTTCATTAATGTATGGTTTCAGAAGACTTGACAATATATAGGGATTATTTTTATTATATTTTAAGCTCGAAAGCCTCAAGTCCAGAGGATGAGCTTTTCTTTTCTTTTTGAGCAAAGGAACATGATAAAATCTCTTCTGCTCTGAATTGCATTAACATAGTTCATATCCATAAAACCCAACATGAAAGCTTATGCTGTGAAATGAGTGTGCCTTTTCACATTTTTGAGCAATGGTTGTAATTAGGTTTAATATCATGATATTGAACATAATATAGAAATGATTAAAAAAATTGATATCCATTTGAAAAGGTTTAATAATATCCAAGCCTGTTACATTCAATTCATAGAAGGTTCATTAAAAGGGAAGTCTCCACTAAGCGAATAGGTTCAAGTTGAAATCATGGATGCTGATTGGTCAATAAAGCATTCTTATTATACAATGTTACACAACATATATGCTAAAATTTCCATCATGCCTAAAACTTCCCTTTACCTTTCCTAATAACTCCCTTCTGCTTTTAGTTACAGAATGGCATGTGCATTTAACTGATGTTGTTGTTTGATTCTCTCTTTTGCAGATGAAATCTACCCTAAAGTGTACCACACCTGCTTCTTTATTGTCACTTATTTTGCTCCATTATGTTTGATGGTCCTGGCATACATTCAGATCTGTCATAAACTCTGGTGTCAACAGGTATGTAAGTGCTCTTGACACTTTAAAGTTAAGCCCAACTGCATTTATAAATGACACTATTTTTGTCTGTAAACTCTTGTTCTGTTCCAACACATAATGATCTGTCTATCTGTCTCCTGCTTACTTGCACAGCTGCATGTTAAGGTAGCATTGTAACTGAGATGGAACTTAGATGACTAGGTTTTGGATTTGGTAGTGCTAGGTGTGGTTTTGTTTACTACCAACTGCACAAATCTTATGTCTTTACTTGTGTATTCATTGCTGAAAATGTGGCTATATGGACACAGTCTAACGGGTGTGAATTGCTGCGCCATGACCCATAACACCATGCTTTATCCCTGAGCAGATTCCTGGAACATCATCGGTGCTTCAAAGGAAATGGAAGTCGCTGCAGTGTTCTGCCCATGCTGTAGGCTCAGGAGAATCGGTGAAAGTGAGAACCAGCACTGTCTCAGCGGAGATCAAACAGGTGAAAGCCCGACGGAAGACGGCACGCATGCTGATGGTGGTGCTGTTTGTGTTTGCACTCTGTTACCTGCCCATCAGTGTTCTCAACATCATGAAGAGGTAAGCACTATGATACTTGGCTGAGGTAGTGCATGTGCTTATTATAACACAATTATGCTTACACCTCCTCTGTCCCTGTGTCTCAAAACATCTGTCAAGAACATGGCTGGATAATAAAAGTAAAAACAAAAAACAAACAAACAAAAACAGGAAATTTCACATAAATCCAACAAAGCTTATTTTTTGGACCATTAATGTTTTGGGTTGTGACACAATTCTAATGCCAATTCATGAGGATTGTTTTGTGATTATTCTCAACTGTGATCCACATTAGTTCCCTTTTGAGTGGAACTCAACACTGCATCATTGTTGATGCTATGGGAATGCTTTAGCATTGGCCGGTGTCTGAAGCATGTGTGAAAACACCCCGATCTTGATTGGCTCAATGTGAGATCAGGTGAGGTAGCGTGTAATGTCAGCAAAACCATAAGATGGAGCCAAGACCCCAGTTGTGTTTGGAATAGCATACTACCATACAACTCCTACTATAGTGCAGTATGCAATGGGTATACTGTGAATAGTATGTGGATTTTCTGTATGCATGGAATTCCTGGATTACCTGCTACATTTGCTGAAATTTGATGTATGCTTCTGAGGATCACTGCATGGGATACTGTTTCCCACAATGCAAGGCGCCCCACGTGATGTTTCATATTCAAATGCGAGAGTGAACTGGAGACGGGGATAGTAATTATAAATGTAACACTTTTATATGTACTTATATACATATTATTGTAAACTACAAACGAGCAAATATTGCTCTGTATCGAAAAACAATATCGTTAGTAGGACATAAATTGTACTGTACCTTAATCTATATGGCACGTTTCCGATCAAGTCAAATGACATCGCCTTTATCACTATAGCACTTTATACAGTACAGATTGTTTCAAAGAGATTAAACAATAATAATATTGCAGTAATATGATATATAAATAACATAAATAAAAATAATATTTAAATTATGCAAGCAGAATTCAAGAGAAGTGTCACGAATCCGGTCCGTGGCCTTCCGGCCGATTGCCACTAGAGTTAGTCGTGATTGGGAATGCACTTCGGCTCGCGCGCATTACTGCACCTCCGCCTAATGGTTCGATCAGAGTAAATTAATCAATGCAAGAGATTTGAGTGGACTGTATATGTCACGAATTCTGTTCGTGAACTTCCATCCGATCCGCCACCAGAGGTCACTCGTCCATCATATTGACTCTCTCACTACACTGACTGTTGCACGTCACCATGGACTACATTTCCCATGCACCATTTCACTAATCACACGCTCACCTGAGACCAATTACATAACACCCACTCAGTTCCTGCTCCGATCGCTGTGTATTGTTCTGCGTTTAGCACTCCCCAAGTGTTAGCTGCTTTACCGAGCCATTCCGTGTTTCTGTTTCGTCTCTAGTTTTGTTTAGCATTTATCTCTCCTCTAGTGTTAGCTACATCACTGAGCCATTCCTTTTCCCATTTTTTTAGTTTTAGTCTTAGTCTAGTCTTTCCGTGTTGCTTTGTTGTCTGTTTCCTGACCTCCTGCCTGTGTTTATTGGATTACCCCTCTTGTCAAGCCCTCTGGATACTGTTCGCTGATCGTAGACCCACGCTAGCCCAAGGAATATTCTTTGTCTTGCCTGTGCCATACCTGTTTGCTGTTGTTCGACCCTGCCTGTGTTTGACCACTTCTCTTGTGAATAAAAGCTTGCACATGGATCCGCACGCCTCTCGTCTCGTCAGCCCTGTTACAGAATACACGGCCTCACAAGGATCTAGCCATAGCACACTATTCTGATCTACCAGACTGTCTTTTGATAGAGTTTTTTTGTGATGGCCTTAATCAACCTCTACGCTTAGACGCAAGGGTCTGCATTCGTCACTGAGTTGTTTTTTGGACTTTGCTTTGTTGACTGTTGGCTCTCTATTCACTGTGGGTATCGCAGAGGAACGTGACCCCGCACTCACTCGAGTAATGACTAGATTACGCTCACAAAATGGCGGCGACAGATGAGCCTGATCGCAAAATGGCAGACACAACAGCGCCCCGTTATGTGAAAGTTGATCTTCATGAACCAAGTCAAGTCACAGTTGATCGTCAGGAATCAAGTA